CGCCCCCGCCGCTCCTCCTCTTCCTCGACCCTCTTCATCACCCCCGCCCCCTCCGGCCGCCTTCGTCCACCCGCAGCGAGCGAAGTCGCTCGAAATCGATCGATCTCTGAAATATTCAACGCATTCCGTGCGGAGGCTTGCAACGGCACCGAAGGAATTGCCTCGCGGAATAGAAAGATATCGATTAATCGACGGCCCCTTTCGGATCGCCGCGAGTATCGATCCCACTCCGGTTGCCGGTTAATTCCCGAAATGCTCGCCGTCGCGTTTCCAAATCCGACGTTGAGGACGTGCGCGTGAAGAAGCCCGACGCGTACGTTTTCAGAAATACATTCGGGCAGGTCGGCTGGGCAGAAACGAGGGATGCTGTTTTGAGAATTGGGTTCTGTTACGACGTTATTTTTAGGGGAATTTTACGATGCGGCATCTCGGGAAGGTTTCGCTCTCTGATATTCGCGAAATTCGACGATATCGCTGGTCAACAGGTAATTTGTCACATGGGATTTCTGACGTTTGCAGTGTATTTTTGTGCGTAGGATCCGAAAATGGACTCGAGGTTTTTCCACCATCCAGTTTTTTTGTGATTGAATCACTTGACATTTAATATGTTGTATATGGAACACATTCGACACGTAGTTCGATTTAATTCTATTTTTTTTTTTTTTTTTATTGAAGTGCTATCAATATGAAAAGTATCTTCTGTAAAAAGCTCCTTTATTTAAACAATATGTCAATATTTTAAATGGAAATGTCTATATTGAATATGTCTATGGAAATTCGTTAAGGTTTACAATTTTTCTCCTTTAATTTTACTCTAACTAATACCACTTTTTTTTATTTTTTAAAGAGACAAGAGTTAAATACAACAGAGAATTTCTAACCTCTACATTTTCAATTAGGTAAACCTTGGTTGTACATATAAACGAACCCAATTTTTATAATAGTAACAAGGCCACTGAGAGCTAAGTGCTGATGTTCGTGCAAATGTAATGTAATGAGGAAAGATAATAACGTTTGTAGTGTAAACGCACGCACCGAACGGAATTTTTACGGTTTTTTTTTAACGTACGCAAAGAATCACATTTTCCACCAACAAACTTTGCACGAACATCAGTACTTAGCTCTTAGTGGCCTTATTACTATCATAAAGGTTTGGTTTTATCATCAGAGCTCTAAAGATACATGTTTCATTCTTTGAAACCAATTTTCCTGAAACTTAAAGACTACATTATTTGGAAATCCTGGATGAAAAAGTATCTGTTTGTTTTAAAAATTCAGCCTAAAAATACTATATATAGATCGCTTAATCCGATCCATGTGAAAAAAATTTTTTTTAGATCAGTGTAATGTATCAAATATCCTTAAAAAACATAATTACTCGAAGAGATTTTTGGAACGAGCGGAATTTAGTCCCCGTGACTTATTTTGACGCGAAACACGTAAAAACTTTGCCTCTCTACAAATTGAGAAGTCAATTTATCAAAAGTGAAAAATGTCGAAACATTAGTAAAGATTGAATTTCAATGATTTTTATCACCTTTCAGCTTCGCGTATAGCATATATTAAGTTATTTATAGTATTGTTGCACAGGAAAAAGTTAGAAACTTATAAATACTTCAAATACTTCAAATATCGTGCTCCCATGCTGTTTGCTATGCGTTTTCCAATTCAGTTACCTCGACTCTAACCTAACCTAACCTAATCTAATCGAATCGAGTGTAGCTCAAAGTTGAATCCAGCGCAGAAGTCGAAATAATTTGAAACGACATATCCCGACAACCAAAAACGACTCTCGCTTGATGCGAAACGCGCGTTTCGAACCGAAACGTCAATCTCTATAACATATCTACGAGCCAAGGTCAGCTCGTTCACATGACGCGCGAGTTTTCACGCGAAAGTAATCACTCTTGGTGCTTTCAGTGTTATTCCAGCCGATTTTTGGCTGCATCAAAAATCTTCTCTTCTATCCCTCCACGTATACAGACTGCCATCTAATTCACGTCCAATATTGATGTAGCGCTATTCCTGTGTGATTTACAGTTTAATTTTTCCACAGCGAAAATATCGAGGTGTCAATTGGTGCCTGAGACACAAGCGATCGAATAAAACAAGTTTCGCGAAGTGCTTTTCGCGAAATATGCTTCCGGGCAACCAAGTGGTAGCAACCCAGACAACATAATGTCTAAAATCGGGACATAAAACGTCTTAAAGATAATCTTTAAGACGCCTTAAAGATATTTATACGTAAATCGTCTGAAAGACATTTTAAAGATGATCTTTAAATCGTCTTATATCCCGATTTTAGACATTATGTTGTCTGGAAAGACAACTTCTTCGATTGAAAACAAATGGAAAATTTACTTTAACAGAATGTTAATTCAGAACTGAGCTAACATGAAGCTCTCTCAACAAAATAGCTCGATATTTTCGATTCTCGGCGCTTTACATAAGGAATAACGTTACGTATATATTGAACGCGAATTATCGTACATCTCCTACATAATCGTTCAAAGCCAACCGGGACGTTTTCGTCGAAATTTCGATCGGCAATCGAAGAGTGGCTTTTCCCGAACTGCAAGTTATTTCATTTTTATCAGCGCGATGGCATTTAAAAGAAGTGTATTCGCCGCGGCGGAAAATTATTGGCTCTCATATCATCCGGCTCGTCTCCTCTGCTGCGTTCGGAAACTCCACTCGACAGGTAGAGTAGCATTTGATTGACCAATCAGGACCAAAGAGAACTAAGATTCCTTTATCATGATTGGCTAATTAAATGCTATTCTACCCGTCGAGTAAGCTTTTCGAACGTAGCTCAGGATTGAGCGCAGTGACGCACTGCCGAGCATCCGAGCGCTGATTTGACTTAGAAACTGTGATGATTATGCGATTATTGCCGGAGCGAGCGGTCGTTATCGCGCGCGCGCGCGCGCGCGTTCGTTCTCTGTCTACATCTGTCTCTCTCACACGCGTGTGACTCCGCGTGTGGTCAGTCACGTTTCTCTCTGAACCATGCGGTGGACGCATCTACGTCTCCATCGGCGATCGTGATCCCTGCGACTTCTGTGATACTTCGCGAACGCACCGGCCACTCTTCTCGTTAGCGCGCAACGTACTTGTTACTCGTCGTCTTTACATTCCATCGCTATCTTAGTCTTATAATCGTAACCGTTATACATATTCATACATGTGTGTGTACGTATATATATATATATAAATATATATATATATATATATATATATATATATATATATATATGTATATGCACACATGCGTGCACACATGTATGCATATATCGGGTGTCCTCGTCTTTCGAGCGTTGAACGCTTCGACAGGCAGCACTGGGGTCTCTTCAACGTGTGATTTAGTTTGTGATCTCTCTCGAGTGCGGCGTAAAACTTAATGCGAAACCCGGCCGTTCCGTTCCGGGTTAGAGTTTAGAGGTCGTTTGCTTTAGGAAAATACGCGCATTTCATCCTCGGACACGTGATTGCTTCGTTTAGAAAAATGCCTCGTGTGCGCGGCACGACGCGCGCGTCTTTTGGGAGACGTAGATGCGTGTAGAACAGAAGCGATCAGTTGAAACTTCTTTCAATTCTGTTGCACAAAATGTTGACTTGTTGTCATACGATCCACCAAACTGTATGGTGATTTCTTTTTTGTACATTCGTGAGAAAGAAAAGGACAGAGTAAGGAATACTCGCACAGGAAATGTCTTGGGATCTAATGGAGAAACAGTCCGATCTTCCAAAATATTTATGGATTAGAAATATAATGTTTCAATATGTTTATATATGTCCGGTTAGAAATATAATGTTTCAAGCATACGAATCTAAATGAGAAGCTCAGAGATTTTCTAATATTCTGTCCAGTCTTCGTTTTACATTAGAACTACCCGCCGGCAACGGCGGGTTATCACAAGAGGTCACAAGTGTCAAGGGGATTTAATCAGTGTTCAGGGTGTTTAGATTTTCAGGTTTCAGATAGCCTATATTTTCCGCAGGGTCCTAGAGAGTAACTATGCAAAATTTAGTGCAGATCGGTTAAAGAGTTTATAAGTTAGTAGGGAATATTCAGACAGACATTCTATTTCATATATAGATACATAGATTGAACAGAACGCATGTTCACTTTTTATATAACTTTATTATTTAATAAAATACACAAAATGTTTTTAAATATTTTTTTTTATTTTCATTTTTTTGAATACAATAGTTGATATAAAAATAGAATTTCTTTTTTCATACTACATTAAAAGTATATCCGCGTATAAAAATTGTTTAGGATCTAATTGGAATCTGGTTCTTTAAAAAAAAATTATGAGTTTCAACTGAAAATCTATGAAGACTAGAAGTGTAATTTTCTCGAAATGTGATTCTAAGTGAGAAACAAATCTCAATTTCTCCAATTTTTCCAAAGTTTTTTTTTTTCGATTTATATTTCATATTTATGCTCAACAAAATATCCAAAACGTTTTAAATATACTTACGCATATTTTATAAATATTTAAAAAGTATAAACACTCAAATTATTTTTATTCCAAGTATTTTGCTCAATCCTTTTTTGAAATAAATTATATAAATGTCTTGTGAAAAAAATAATATATATTATGTATTTACTTGAAGTATATGAATCTTTAACATTACATTAAACATTTAAGTGTATTATAATTATTTACAATGAACAGTCGATAAATCACAAGAATAGCCATATTTGAACGCAGCCTATATTTGAAAAAGAATTGAACATCAGAACATAAGAACTTTATGTTTCCATAAATTGTAATTATGAAAATACCAATTATTATTTTCCTATTATCCATTTTTCTTTTTATACAACTTTTCTTCTGCTTTTAGCTTTTCTTCTTAGAATCGCAATTTCAATTAATTGGGAGATCAAAATAGCCCCCAATTAGATCC